CTTCTTCTTCACCTAACAATCAAACAGATTCTTCAGATCCATCAGGATATATCAATTGAACAGATTCAAAGTTTTCAGTGCAGAGAACATATATATCATGCTTTTTAGATTGTTCTGGCTCTGAGGCATCCATTCCACTATTATGAATATCAATAAGTGCCCATTTATCTGCATGTTTAAAAATAGGGACATATATACCACCTTCTTCAAACCTTTGTTGATGTTATAACTGTCTATCTCCCATTTTTTCTTGTCATTTACATAAAAGTCTATGTAACCCTTTGATCCAAAGCATGCTTCAGCATCTACAGAGGTATAAGTATCTTCAGATAAAATCTGCATTGAGGCACAGTAAAATTCCATTTGCCAGACATGTTCAAGAAGACGGTCATCTGTGTCTCTGCCTTTACTTTTTTGCAATATTTTTGGATTCATTTTTGCGAAAACTAATTTGATAAATTCATTGAATGTACTAGGAGGTGATTTAGATCGGCTTATTGCACCAAAACAGTTTTGAAAGGTATGTTACTCAGAGCAATGGTGCTGGAAAATCAAGCAGTGCAATATGTGATTTGTTTGAACTTGTATCAACAAGTGCATTGGTCTTAAGAAGTTGACCATCATTTAGAATTTTCTCTGTTTCATAATCAAGACCCCCTTTTTTAAAGAGTACAGCATCAACAATTCTTCTTTCTTCATATGAAAGATCAGAAGCTGGATAAAATGCACAGATAGTCTGGAAATGTACACCATATATAAATTGTTTAATAAATACAACTAGTTATTAGAATAATACAAAACCAGTCTGCAGTAAGATTTCTATTTATGCTTTCAATTTTAAAAAAATTTTCTAGTCTAGTATTAATACTTACATTACTTTCAAATCAATTACAATTCTGTTCAGAGATATGGAAAACTTCAAACAGAACATGGACTGGTGTTAAAGCTGTCAAATCACAAGGGTGATGTACCACATACAAATTTTCATGTCACTGTATGTACATTACTAATCCATAATCTTTCAAAATTTACCATTTTATCATGTTGGTAACATTTAAAGATGGGAACCACAATTAGCTGCAATTATATTTTCATATGCCACAACTGCAACCACAATTCAATTTTCATGTGCTGCAACTAGTCTCAATTAATTGAGGAGCCATGTCTACACTGTAAACATGGGATTGGGGTGTGAGATGCCCTAATTAAATCAAAATTAGGTGATGTAACATAATGCCGATCAATAACAAACTTTTTTT